TATATGAATATTAATAGGCCGTCTGCTTTTGGTCGAATCGCGAATTGAAGTGACGCCGTCGTACATCAAACATCAAATTATTTTATAAAGCTGGGAAAGTCGCTCTGCTGATTATTGAATATCTATCGGAAATTAAATAAGGAAATTTTAAATTTTAAATATTCTCGAATAGCTTAAAATATACCTAACCAATGCACTCAAAATTAATTATTAATTTCGTGCTCGACACTATTCAGAGAAAAGATTTCAGTAGAATTAGATGTTCTAATAATAGATCTTCCACAGCAGCAATATCACTTCGAAATAAATTTACAAAATATTTTAATTCAAATAAAGGTTCTGTACCCTGGCAAAATAAATACACTGTATAATAAAATTATTAAGTAATAAAGAATTAATCAATTAATAACTATCTTAAGTACCTACTTTATTATTATTACTATCGTGATTTATATAGAATAGAAAATAAAAAATAAAATAAATGAAATAATAACATAATATTATAATAAAAATATAAAGACCGGGTATTTTCAGAATATCCGTTGTTTCTGTCCATAATTGTTCCTGTATGTTTCTGTTGCTACAATTTTTGTTTTTGTAAATTTGTAATCATAAAGAGACGTTCTTGGACTAATGATATTAAATTTTCGAGGTTCATTTCATGCTCAATCGATATTTTATAATCCTATTGAATAACATAATGTGCAATCATAGATATTAAAGAATTCTGCAGTGCAATGTGACACTTATCATTTTTTGAATTTCCACTGCTCGAAAAACTTTATGTGGAAATCCTAAATTAAAGTAAGTAAAATAATGCTTCAAATAAGTTTTTTTATTTGCTTAAATATATTTTGAACTATTATATTATAGTTGAAATATTTAGTTTGTACAAATGTTATAGATATTTATATTTTTTTCACAAATTATTACACAAATAAAAACAAAAAATCAAATAAATGTTTTCAATGCAAAATTACGTATTTCAGTACTTGTAGATATAGTGTAATGTGTATAATGTATAATGTATTATATATAATGTATAATAATGTATAATTACCTTTATATTGTAGACAATTTAGCATAGATAAATAATATTTCAATATTTGGCATAATTTTGATATAATTATCCAGCGACTGCTTGACAATGACTTATGAAAATAGCGCACGTTCTGTTTCAATAAAACAATATTAGTCATGAGTTCATGACTGAAGACAAAAATGTTTTGTTTTGACTACGCTTCATCAGTGTGCATGTTTTCCATAAAATATAAATGTTTTATTTTTGATTAGTCATAATAAATCGACTTAGTAGCTTTAAAGCAGTTTTGCTTTACCAGTGTGCGGTCACCCTAAGAGGACGTTATACCCGCATAATATGTTGTTTCTGTCTTATAAGTGCGTAACATACCAAATTTTAAGCTAGGCAGATCACGTTTAGCTCCGTTCGTTTAAAAATTAGAGTGAATTGATTTTTGAGGAGAACATTACCTGGTGAACTACCGCGTTGAAAAGTTCAAATAAAACGTGAACATACAATACAAAGGTACGAAGTACTCACAAGCCGCACGTTCTCCGCGTTTTAATGATGTATTTTTCGATATATTAATTGTAAGCTTGAGTTATCTATAGACTATAGACAACGGATGTTTATAATATTGTAACATAAATACGAGTGCAATGAGTGCATAGCTATAGCTTAAATACTAAAATATCGAAAAAAAAATTGACAATATTGTTATCTTAAGTTTGGTATTTTACTCGAATATTAAAACTAACGAAGCTAAGCAAGTGTTTATACTTGTAGGTACCTAGAATAAATGCATACCACGTATGCATTTAAAAACCTAAAATATTCAACTAGGTACATTTTTTTTAAAGATTTATCAACAGGGCTCGCGAGTTCAATGTTCATGCATTTGTATATCAATCTTGCTAAGTCGTATTTAGGTAAGAAAATATAGTTAAATAATTTATTTTAGTTAGAACCTAGGTGACATAGAAATCCATTGCAAGGTAAAGTGGTTGAGTAATGAGTATGTGGAGTTTTATTTTACATATTTATGCGTTCATCTATTTCATTGTACATATTTTGGGTATTTTTACCAACATTTGATGAAAACGCAATAATTTATATTTTTGCACTGAATAAAATATAAAAAAATTTTCGCGTAAAATTATTAACATAAAACGTATAGCCCGTAGCCCATGTAACTAATTCGTGGAAAAAGTTATATGAAATAGTCTTATCTCCTAGATACTTTTACAGTGATTTATTTTTGACTATTTCAGTAGTTACTGTGACCTGTGTGTATGGACGTTCATTCAGTTTAACAATTTCTGAACTTTTTAAAGCATATTTTGCCAGTTTTTAGTGCATAAGTACATACTTATTAAGAATTTTTTTAGGGCATGAACTCACGAACCCTGTTAATCAATAAATATCGTAGCTTTTAAAATACGAAAAACAATTGCCCAATTAAAATAAAAATATTTTTTATCATCTAAAATTTAGATTCTAAATAAAACTTGTTTTTATTGATTAGTAAATATTCAATTACACTGATTAATTGATGAACTTATCATTGATTTGTTGAGTAATTTGGTACTTCTTTTTCAGCATGCAGTGGGCCGAGGCCTGGTAATCACTAATAATGCGGAAATGTGAAGACTAAAGGTATGTTAAATTTTGTAATAAAGAAATGTCGTTTTGATAATAAACGTTATTATAAAAAAAAGGGGGATTTAATAAGCCCAGGCCTACAAATTTACTTTACTCATATTATGGAGTTGTTTGGCCAACAATGCGCTATTATTGCATATTGGTATATGACAGTAAAATCATGTAAGCAGGTATAGGCGTAACAAGCTGTTTCAAGTACAAAATGATGAGAGTATTTTTGATATAAACCGGAATTTTGGACAGATTTAATTCCCACTCGACAACAAAATCGGAAACACGGTAATGTTTAATCCCAAAAAGACCAGTATTCGTTTGGGTGGCTTCCGTTTATTATATAATTTTAACATGGTATGTAAAATATCATCGTCATATCCTGTTTCCGAGAGCGAGATGTCGTTTGAAATTTTAGAATGGGTATGTGTTGTAGTTTTACCACAGAATAGTTTAATCGATTCCATCGTTCTAAGTCAACGCGTGTTAAGTGTGTGTTTGATTACACATTTGATGCGTACAAAACATATTATTACGGTACATAGCGAATTTTTTGGTATCTCGCCTACCTCATATCTTTTTTACATTTTATAGTTATAGTGATTATGTCACTTCAAAGTAAAGCGATCACGCCAAAGTATGATTACCAATAATACATAGTGTGCAACAAATGTTCAACATATTATGAACCATTTTTTTTGCAAATAATTTTTCTTGTGTAAGTGTTAAAAAAATGTAAGGCATGAACTTAGGCATAACCATATATACTAAAACTCTAGTGGTAGGTTCATCAACACTTTAATGAAGTGTTCTACAAAATTAGGAACTACTAAGTATTGTGTTCCAAATATATATGTTACTGTAGTAGAACATACAATTATTATAGTTATCGGCTAAAAAAAATAACAAATGCTCAGTTGTATTTGTATGTTTTTAATTCCAAATATTAAATGAGAATATTATAATTATAAATAATAAATGTTTAATCTACATCAGTAAAAGTATTCAAAAGTGTATTCATAATTTATATACTTATTGGTCAATAAAATTTAGTAATTTACATATGAAATAAAAACGATCAGTGCTTTCAGATAAATCAAAATTTGTTACTTTATAATTAAACAATATAAAATGTTATCTCTCTCATAACAAAACCAATATTATTAAAATGGTATAAATATTATAAACGAGTGTTAAACGTTTCTCTGTAAATAATATTATTAGGTATTAAGGTAACTTAAGGTAATACAAAATTTCTTGTTTCATTGAATTTTAACTTCACTGAAGTTGACTTAAATTTTAAATACCAAGAGTAATATTATTGTGATTCCAGTGATTTACATATAGTTATTGCAAAATAGGTCTCAACATGTTATATAAAAATAGTAGCCCAAGAAAAAACTATGATCAATGAATATTAAATTAGTTAGTACAAATAATTATGTTGATTATATTTTATTTAATAAACACGGTTTTTTATAGTGATAAAAAATCATTAATGTATGAAATTAAATAGTAGTTTATTACTTTAAAATAACAAAATGAGATATCTATTGGTTCAAATTGAATAAAGCCTTTGAGAAAAAAAATTATAAAATTAATAAGCAAGTATAAATGTAGAATTACACATTCTAAGTATTTAAAACTATTATAAAACTACTTACTTAATGTCAAAAAAAAAAATTAACATTAAATTATAAGACTAATTTAAAGACCAAGGCAAAACCATTAGTATTTTTCTAAATTGTTACTATACTAAATCGCCAAACCAAAATAATTTTAAAGTCTTAGCCAACTTATACAACTATTTCAAAGTCATTAAATTACTATCAATCTATTGATATTTACAAATTACAAGTATACAAATTATAGTAATTTATCATTGTATAATCTTAAATTAAATTTTACACAACTTTCTAGAAGTTAACATTTTATATATTTACTTATCCCAAGTACATTATTAAATTAAATCTTTGTGTAACACAATTATCCACATAATATAGTGTCATAAATCATCTATTTAAACAATTATTAATTTAGAAAAAAAAATTAAACAAGTAAAATCATAATTACTTTTTGTTTTATATGTATTTATATTTAAATATATATATATGTATAAAAACTTTTACATATATATTTATATGTATTTATAGAAACAAAACATACATAAATATATATACATACATAATATATTATATTTACTATTATGTTTTTTCCATACAATTATATCAGTTAACTTTAACAAATAAATTTATAATATAAAATAAATGGGATGGATGCAAAGTAATATTCACAGTTCTAATATTTACAATTTTTCCTTTTTTTTTTAAGTAAAAAATAATAGTTATTATTCATTTATATTTTCAACAAAATAATTTGTTACATGAAAAAATTCTTACTAAGTGGTCATTAATGTCAAAAAAAAAAAAAAGGAAAAATTTAAGATAATTGAAAGTTCCATAAATTAAAATTTAGTTCGAATATATACGGCACTTGTATCATGATCACTGTAACCTAAACGTTTTGCATGTTTAAATACTTCATTTACACTGGCTGTAACTGGACAAGGTTGTTCCAAAATATCTGACCAGTTTAATGATAAACTTAAGTCCTTTTGAATATGTTTTAAAGCTTGATTTGTTTGAAAATTACCGCTCATCATAGCTATAATTAACAGATAATATACATTAACATTTAAACATTACATCTATAATGAATCAAATTAAATAATAATTTAAATGGACATACCACTCCCTTTTTCTAATAACAATGGGCACTTCAATGAAGTCATTCCTAGAATTTCTAGCATAGATTGTTGAGATATACTAGCTCTATCAGCCAGAGCCATACCTTCAGCTAATCCTGCTAGAGCTACTGCTTTAACTGAATGTAAAATCAAATTCATTTTTGTGGCTGCTCCAACATCACCTAGCAAATATATGAGTTTTATTAGAGTAGTTAATAAAATTAATCAATATAATATATCAATTTACCTAGATACATTGATTTGCTGGCAATCGCACAAAATGATGATTTACAATCATCAAATAAAGTCATATCGCCAGCTGCCAAACAAATTAATTCCCCTTCTTCAGCATCTGCTTTACTTCCCTGAATCATGGCTTCTAAATAACGCCCACCTCTACTCAATATAGCCTGTAATAAGGAGTAACACATCATAATAAAATAAAATAAATTATTAACATTCAAAATCATATCATATTTGTACAAAAAATATTTAGTATGTTGCTTGCAACAAACCTCACAAATATCTTGAGATGTTTCTGGATCAATACCAGTCATTTCAACAAATCCTTTGGTTTTATTTATTTCAGGAAGTACACCACAATTCCCAAATACCATCTGCAAAAATCAGCAAATATAAATAAATGTATAAGAAAAATTACAAAAATCTTACATCTTTAGCAACTTGTGGATCAGAAACACAAGAAAATGTTATATCTGATACTCCAATAACATCTGATGGAGTTAATGCAACTGTGGCTCCAGCATCTTGAAATTTTAGACACTATAAAATCAAAAAATATACATGTAATTCATAAAATAACACTTAGTTAGAGTAATAATTGTCATAGCTAATTTAAACTCTTATTATTTTATAAACTAATATTTATTATTTACAAATGATAAAAAAAAACCCATAAATGTATACAGCTAAATATGATTTTAACCATTAAAAATAATTATAACTTTAATCAAGAACCTATAGCTGAGAATAATAATTCAAATAGCAGTTTACATTTTCATAAAAACAAAATAGTAATTTTATAATCTATAAACAATTTATTTTAAATTGAAAAACAAGTATTTATCCAATATTCAATACAGGAATAACATGGATAAGTGAAAGACGGTCAACTAGTTGCCATAAACAGGTCCATCAATAATCTTAATACTATTTATCTTTTTAGAAATCACTAGTCTAAACATGTCAATGTGCTATTAAAATGTTATTAGTACGAAGTAAGAAGGCTCAGTATTATTCAATAGTAAAATCTAATAGGTACAAATGTTAATATATTTTAATGGTTTAAAAATATTAAAATAATATTGTTATATTTTTGTGACCACATTCAAAATTACGTATAAAAACATAAATAAAGACTGAGAATAATAGATTTCACAATGAAACTATGAAAGAAACAATAAATTATACATACATATTTGATGGAAATGTATAAGAATGAATATGTTAGGTAAGGTTGTTAATAGTAAACATAACCTAACCTAATATTGTATCATGTATACACAACACATATAATGTGTTAGGTACCTATATGTATGAACGCAGTATAATTCTAGTATACTTAATTACACTATTATAAACTGGTTTTGATCATTTGATCTTGTTTTAACTTATGGTTGGTTTTTTTAAATACTAAAAAATATAGTATATCACAACTTATAGTGCAAGATAGATTAATCAGCATAATGGACTTGTGCGACCATTCACAATTAGATCATTAGTAGCTGAAAAACATACAGAACGATTTGATGTTAAAATATAATTCTTGAACTTCCACGTTGTATATAAAACGGAACAATGATAGTTTGTGTTTACATAATAATATTGTTTAAGACGTTATAGTGTAATATATTGATTGTAAATCCTAAAAAATGCCTTTTCAATGTTTAATTATATACAATACAAATTACAATCAATATTGCAGCAGATTGTAGATAACACAAAACGTTTAAGTTATGTATAATAGCTTATGGAGTTTTTTATTTAAGTCGATCACAATGTAATTATATTTTTACGTAAGTTAATTTAATTACATAACATTTCACATTTAAATTACTACTAATATAATAATGTCACGTGTCTTAGTCCATCGACTTTGGACAGATTACGATATAAATTCTATTTTTAATTTTATACTACGACACACAAATCGTGTTCCTTATAACTCTCAAAAACTATTATAATAGTTATAAATAATTAATAATTAAAAAATGTCATGGAGTGGAGTGGGTTGCTAAACGCCAAGCCACCACGATTCTCATTTCTCGAGAGGTTACTGGTTTTAAAATAGTACCTAGTAAAAGTACGATACTATTATGTAACAGATTAAAATATGAAAGTTTTATTTGATCCGTTATTGTGTGTAGACAAACGATTTATTATTTTTCAACTTAGAACATCAAAATTTGACATGAAAAACGGCTTCACAGTTCACACTGCTTCGTGTGGTTCGATTTGAAGTATATAATATATATGTAACTTAAAGTGTGGGTTTCCCTTCAACAGTATATTTCGAACTTATAGATAGGGCAGGTTAGGGGTTACCAATATTTTGTTATCTAGGTATTCAATATTTAAATACATATACGGAACATGATACTACACGACACGGTTAATTTAAAGGGAATTAAACAGTATTCCGTTGTGGTTAGATGGTTGTTAATGTATTTGAAATACAAACTACAAAATATATCGTTCCCGAGTATTTGAAATATACGAAATAATATTAGTTAATACCAAACTGAAAACTGTGTTAAAATGATTTATTGTATTATATTAACTAACTTAACCTTTTAAACAAATTAAGTTAAAGGATAGACAATAGTTAATCGGATAACCTTGACCGGCTGTGACGCTACATAAATTCAATAAATTAATATTAACTTGTGTGATATTTGGTATACATCTTGTTTACCTTAGGTTAACTAAAAATTATAAATGTCAATTTTTGTCATTTAAAAATTAAAGAACAGCCAATGAAATAAGAACATTGATAATATTTGTAGCCTTATATTAAGCCTAATATTAGTAACCTTTAGGTAATTATATATTTTGTACTTGAAATCCTCAAAAATATTTCATGTAAAACGACAAATGCGAAAATTTTAATAAAAATATTGGCCAAATGTCGTACCTACTAACGCCGCTATGAAGTTGACAATATATTATGATTTCCACGTTCATAAACTGACAGTCGACGAGTGTACTCATTGTGAGTCATGATAAACAACATGGTATGATCTCAAAGGTCCAGATTGGGTTCAAAGTCTGAGCAACACGTCACTTGCTTACCCCTAATTGTCATTCAATATTTAAATTATGAATAAGACACACCTCACTAAGTTACGTTCTAAACCAACCGTCAAGAAGTTACGATCCTAACCTTGTTGATTATAATAATATCATGATGCATGGGTGTACTCGGTGTCTTAAAAATCTTGGTACATGTGCAGAAACTAATGGCATAATACATCTCCAGAATGAGTCAGTTTTTACCCTACCTCCCTTTTTTTGTTATTATTGTTGACGACTGTTCGGAAAATGCACCGCGTCCATCGTACTTACACTTGACTCCAGTAAAAGTCGACATTTTTAAAACACAAATATGCTTTTGCGACTGTCAGTTAATGAATGTTGAAATTAATATTCATCACGATTTACTATGACAAGACGGTCAGGAAAGCAAAAAATAAATAAAAAATAAATAATAATAATAATAAACCCAAGCGGGTTCTGGGAAAGAACATATTGTAACCGCTTGCAAATGTTTGTTAAAGCCGTGAAAAATAAGAAGATCGAATAACGGAACAGCCATTTCCCGAAAAATTTAGCATATTTGATCGTAGGTACTCGCGGTAATCGTTAAACATCGAAATCTATTTGGAAAATTTATTTGGTCTGCGTTATTTGGTTGCAAAGCAGCTTTGAAACCGATTATTTCCGATTGATATAATATAATTTAAACCGGTTGATTAAAGCGATTCAGGCTGTAGAGTTCTTCTAAAAATATACGAATATTATCTGATAAACATCGAAATCAAAGTGTATGGTCATTCAAAATTATAGAAAAAAATCACTTGTTAATAATGGTATTATGATCTATAATCACGAAAGGACGTCGTGGTGACATTAATACAGTTGATATTATCTATTCGATAGTCGGTAGATTTAAACCCCGATACTCAATGCGCATAATATATTAAAAACGATCGTTACGTCGGACGACTGTTGTTGACGGTTATTAATCGCTGCTGGCACGCGCTCGACAGTGTACCCACGGGACAGCCGTAGCACGTTGACGCGGTTGGCCACACTGAGTCATCAGAGAAACTGGCTTCGAAGCGTTTATACAGTCGTTCGTCAGTACTCAGTATCCGTATAAAATCTTTTCAAACGTTACGCGGCCTACGACATTTTATGATTTTCGTTTATCTCACCGTTTGTCCGAGAAAAACGTCCGACAACTCGGAACAAATGAGATCCAACCGGCATATAAAACGCATTAAAAGGTAAACGCACGACACATTGAAATTGTATTATCTTCGGAACCTAATTTTATTGTACATGAAATGTTTCAGATAACTCGAAAATGGATTCATTTACGATTATTTTGACGACCATCATCATACTTTACGAACTCACGAATGCATTGGGCGCGGCGGCCACCGTTTGCGATAACGGAATGGCTTGCAAATGCATCAATAACACCGTGTCGTGTATGACGTTAGAACAAGATGGAGAAATTGTCCTCCCGTACGGCTCAGAAATCGTACGTTTTGACGACGTCCCTATCGCGATCATCAACAACACCACGTTTGCAAATGGGAAACAACTGCGGGAAATTACATGGGTGGCGAGCAAGATAAAATCAGTTGAAGCCTTATATCACAATGATCTTAAGTACTTAGATTTATCTAGAAATAATATTTTTAAACTGTCGGATGATACATTTCACAACTGTCCTCGTTTAGAGTACATAGACCTGTCTGACAATCAACTAAATATTTTATCAGACGATTTATTTATAGACACTAGCTCACTGAGAACAGTCAATTTAGAAAATAATAATTTTAAATCAATATCAGAAAATTTGTTCAAACATACTATCTATTTAAAAAACCTGAGTATAGGTAATCCAAATTTATCTTTACTAGATAAACATTCAATGACAAACTTGTATAACCTGGAATACCTTAGTATACAAAATAGTGGAATAAAAAATCTCAATCAAAGTTCCTTCGGTGAACATATGTATCTATATAGTGTCATATTGAATAACTGTACACATTTATCATCAATTGACAACGATTTCTTTAGTTCATCGCCAAACATCAAAGTGATAGAACTCAATGATTGTGGAACAATTGATTCTTTACCACCTAGCATTGTTTCTCTTAAGAACCTACAACATTTACAAATGTCAAATACACATATTCAGCCAAATTGTAAAAATGGATGGTTTAGCCAATGGTTTGATAATAAAACAACTACTGTAGTTGGTTATGAAAAGTATTCAAATTTTATTGAAACACTTAATGAAATTAACTGCCCACCAAATATCTACTATACAAACAGTCCTATTACATTACAGTTAACCAAAAATGGAATTATTAATTGTATGGCTTATGGAAATCCACTTCCAGCAATTACTTGGTTAGTGCCAGGTGGATTAACATTTCATGAAAATAAACAAGCCGATATAAATATATCACACCATCCAAACATCCATATCTGGGATCTAAATCAAATAGTTAGTCAATCACTTTTAACTGACAAAAATGGATCTTTACATATTCTACGAATGCTAAGAACTCATATTGGTAATTATACTTGCTTTGTATCAAATAAATATGGAAACAGTTCAAAACTAGTGGAAGTACATCTAGACAGTGGAGTATTTTTCAGTATCAAAATAAATGCACTGTTATTAGGAATATCGTCAGCACTAGGATTTTTAATGCTAACTATATTATGCTGTGCTTTCAAGCTATTATTAATAAGGTTAGTATTGAAATGTATTAATTTTTTTATTTATTGTTCATAATGTTTATGATAATTTTGTTATAGACTGAATTGTATAAAAAAAAAGGGTCAACAGACAGAAACAGAAATGGGATCTACAGAAAAGCCAAAAATTTTTCCAGCAGATGTTTAGTTATAATCGCTACAAGAAATATTGTCTTTTGGTAATTTATTTTTATTTTACATAAAATCAGTTCTTAAAATAGTACAAAAATAAACTGTAAAAATATTTTTTAATAATTTTACCTATTATTCTATTAACTCATAAATATAAAAATGTGCAAATAAAATAATACTAACCTAAGTGTATGCATTTGTACTTAAACAATAAAATTATCAAGAGTATGGATTTAAAACAAAAACCAAACGTTTAATGGCTAGCATTTCAAAGTATGTTGAGGTATAACGGAAACATTAATTCATTAACTAAGTTTAAATATTTGTATTATTTAATAGAATAAGTATTATTATTGTTAGTAAATGTATATATTAAAATTATAAATACTGTTAATAGAACAATTACTGTTCTTTTGTCCTTTTCAGTATCGTTACATAAATATTAATTATAAAAATATACCTAGAATCTATATTCATAAATTATTATTGATAGAAATAAAAAATAATAAAGATAATTTTTAGATAAAATTATAATATCATTGTAAGATAAATAATAATCTAACCAGACAAGAAACCATAAAAAGATTATAGTATTAATGAGATTTATTCCATGGTTCTCTAAACTTTTTTTGTTATTAAAAAAAGTACCATAATTGAAAATAGTTGGTTTTGATTTTCTATCAATTAATATGAGAACTTAATAATTTGAAAGGAAATTAACAGCAATATTATGTTTTCTGTAGGTCAACATTAATCCATGTTTGGACTATCTGCTAGTCCAATTGACGGAAGTGGAATTAAATTGGAATCTGCATACATTAAGATGAATGTTTTGTTTGTAATAAATAATAATAAAAAAAAATGTTATGTTGTTCAATTATATTTCCATATTATTGTTTAATGAATGTAGATTTTTGTATTATTTTTGTATAATAAAGTAAAATAAGGGATATTTATTATATTAAATGAAAAATATAATGATTTTCATATATTTTACAACAATTGATTAACAGGTAATACAAACATTTAATTTAATGTATCTATTTTTTATAGAGGATAGTATACACACTCATCTACCTTACAGTAGGTGTCAATGTACCTCGACTTTGACTTACTGTAATGTATGTGTAAAATTTAAATTCATTGCTAGGAATAACAGATCTGTGTGAAGATTATCTGTCAGCCATTATAACTTAGTGTATTTTATGATAAATTTATCTTGTATTATAATAAATTATTTTACTATATAAGTAATACAGTAGGTTGAATTAATTTTTGTTAAAAATATTGTATTTGAAAATGTCATTATATAGACAATTTTTTTTTTTTAATTGCATATTATGGAAATACAAAATATAATATATGTTAAGTTTCAAAATTGTTATGTTTAGTTTAAATATCATATGACCTAAATATTTGATTTAATCCAAATTCAACCAAAATGTCTAGAAATAATTCTGTTTTTATATATTTAAGGTATGAAACTTATAGGGAAATTTGTATTCAATTTTAGATTAACTATACAAAGCAAAGCTTTATAGATTGGAAATTATATACATTTTTTACTAAAACAATTTACAATGTTTTGTGATTTTGATGAATTTCATGCAAATTTTAAGTTCAAATGGTTATAAAAAAATTGTGCCCGTGTACCTTAAACAATTTTAATAGCTATTAAAACAAATTATGAGAAACTCTATTAAATGTTTAGGCAGCTACAACATTTTTATATAAAAATTCAAATGATTTTATGTCACTCAAATAAATCTAACTATACCTATTAATAAAATTATAAAATGTGTAACAAATTAATTTAAACATTTAGAGGACAAAGTGTCAAGTATCTACAGTTATTATTTTTGAATACACGAAAAATAGGTTAGGGCAAAAACTGGTTTTGAAAGTAATTAAAATTATGATTCTTAAATTAAATAATTAATTTTTTCCAAATGTGAAATTATAATATCTTTTAAAATAAAACAGTATCAAATATGTTTTTGATTGCACTATAAATTATTTATGAGAAATCTTATTTTAAATTTTCGATTGTGAAAACAAAAAACTGATCATGATTTTGATAAATTTGTACTTTAAATGCTTATGTATCTTTAATATTTTTAACCAAGCTAAAATTAACAATATAAATATATATGTACAAAATTATAAATTTTAATATTTATAAATAGCTCAAAAAGAAAAATTCAAAATATTTTGAAAATCTCTACTATATTCATTTGGCGAAAATTTCAGATATATTAATCATTAAATGTTTTTTTTGACGCTCTTGAAAATAACTGTGAATTTTCTGTATTGATCTCTAGAAAGTACCAATTAGATACAAATTTGGAATCAGAAACCCTTCTCCTCCCTCAATGTTTAGAATGACAGCATTATTTCAACTACTTAACATATGTACAGATTTTCAAATCTTAGATATATATAGAACATTTCTAACTCAAAATAATTTACAATGTTCTGTGATATTGTCGAGTTTTAACAAAATTTTATCTTCAGACATTTAACCAATGACAACTTATTAGAAACCTTGTATACTTATAAAAATTAAAATTTTCTTATGCATTTAAATATTCCAAAAAGCCAAAATATTTTGAAAACTTATGTGCCCCTATACAAACATGGTATGGTTATTTTCTTAGTTATACCAAATAACTAAATCAATTATTTAAGAAAATAAGTTTTTCCAACTTTTGAAACTACTGGGAATCGTTCACTTTTTACTCTCCCTAAGGACTAGATTCACATTCCTATCAGAAAATATGATGAAGTAGAAAATCAAAGCAATTTTACTAAACAATCTGTATTGTATATATTTTACAAATAAGTAATATAATATAAAATTCAGCAAACTAATATGTCATTTAAAAAAATATAATCATATCTCTTGTCCTTTGGTCAAATGAAAATTATATATCTTTTATGAAAAGTATTTTAAAGGCTCCAAAAAACAAAAACCATTGTTAAATCGATCAATTGACTTCATCACTCAAAATATAAAATAAAACTTGAGATTTCAAATGGAGTGTCAATTAAAATTAACTACTAAAACAAACTTGTAGAAACAATAACTATTTTATGTTTAAAATTTTAATCAAGATAATAATTATTTAGTTTAAAAGCATGAATCAAATTTATTGAAATTTCGAATATTTTATTCTCCAATGATGATTGAAGTTTTATTTGTTATAGGAATTTAAAATGTTCTATGTTAACTTAGCAAAATAATGTTAATACTCTATAGTTACACATGCTTGTAAAAAATATACACTTTGTCCAGCAATATCATTCAGTTCACAAAAGCTAAGTGTGATAGCACCTCTATAATTGTATCTAGGAGTTCTACTAAGAATTATGTGTTGCCTATTGTTTTTGAATAGCATTGTTAAGGTGCCTGATGTTTATTTACAAATTTAAGTATCTGTATACAATTTTGGATGGGTTTAAATTTTTTAAGTTTTTAAATAAATAATATTATATTAAACTCGTAAGAAACATGTTTTATAAATATATAGGTACATTTTGTGAATAATACCAGTTAGTATTAAGTTAAACATTATTATTTATAGATCTTAAACTTTTAATTCAATATTAAATTATATATTATATTATAAAATAAAATACTACTATTAGTTTGTCCAATCATTAAAAATTAAAAATATTTCTTACCTTATCTGGAGTTCTATTCCAAACGATCACACGATGTCCTGAATTTAATAGGTTTTTCACAATTCCTGATCCCATATTTCCCAAACCAATGAATCCTAATTTCAAACGAGATGGTGTAATATTCTTTTGCAATAAAGATTTAGATATTGTTTTTATATCTAAAGGAGGGATTACCTGAAACAATTTAATACATTTATAAGTAAAATTACCCACAAATACGCAATTATTTTTATATTTACTGGAGCTGTCACTGCAGGTCTGTCCAATAAAGTATTATTTCTCCGAAGCGGACTTGTATGGTTGTTTGTTAATCCAAGATTTGTAAGAATATCAGTATTATTATCATCAGATTTACTAACGCTTGAGTTTACACGGGGTCTTTTCGGTTTATTCTTCTTGGGCCCATTAGAGGTAGATTCAGATTCAACTGGTTTGGATTGTCTTTTCTTAGCAGCTTTTTCAGGTAGTGGTGTTGATGCACTGCGTACGTTTGGCTGAAAATGAATTAATAACTTATGATAAGTTTTTTCAATATGACAAAATTGCAATATATTTTACTAAAATTTCTAAAGTCATAGCGAGCTTAAGCTTTTAGGATATAATGAATAACAAAAATATATACACATCTGTTTTAAATTATAACTAATAAGCCGTAAATCCTTGCCCCAGCATAAAAATATCTATTCCTTAATTAGCCATAATCCCCCTCAAAAACCTAATGGTGGCAACAGTAGCCAAAGCTCAAGATCAATAAAATAAAATCTTTTGTAATTAATAAAGACATGTGACAAAATGCCAAAAAGCTAAACAAAATTAACTTGGATTAAACGGATTTTAATTTAGAAAATGGATATAATTATTCACTGGGTCCATTAGGGAATGATCGAGGGGATTTTATTTATTTAAATTCTTTGATAAAATATTGACAATTTAAAAAATTAGAATTTTGGTATTTTATATACTTAAGTAAGCCATTTATTTTTGTCATAATGATACGATACATTTACACGGCCATGCTAAGTAGAGTTGTTGAAGATTTTTAACTAGTTTTCAAAATTAAAATGTGTCAAACCCAAGTCCCTCATTTTTGTCTAGCTTTTGGCCTGTTTTATTATTTATACCTGATCTAGCCCCCTTATTTTAAGTATAAAATTAACAATACATACATTAATCGTTTAAATAAATAAATAAAAAGAAGAAGTTCACATTACAAGTGATCTCAATGAATAATAAGTCTATGGAGATTTGAAATTGAGGGCTTCTTTTCTTTTCAGCTTATTGTAAGCTAATAAGTTAGATTTTCAAAATATTATTAATTATTTCTGCAAATTACATATTTTAAGAATGATGTTAACATTTTATTCTTAATGTTAGGTTAGAAAATTTCGGATTCTATCATTATATAAATAAGATATGGTCAGAGAAAAAAGGTTATATCTAACACAAGAGGATATTAATCAAGTTTTTACTTTTTAATAAGCCTTCATACATTTCATTTTTTAATCTTTTGTATACAACAGGTTGACCAAAATTTTTCAGTGGGACGGATGTTATAAGTAATAATCAAGGTTGGAATTGTATAGTAGTTGAAATAGTAAAAATATGGTTTATAATATTACTTTAAATATCAACTTAATAATAAATTAGAGTTTTAAAATGATGTTAAGCACAATTTAAGGAACGACAAACAGAAACCACTAAACTTAGGTATGCTAGGCAAGGGTAGTCAACTGTATTACTATTGTATATAATTATTGATAGCATTTGTATGATGAAAATCACAACCACAAGCCCACAATTGGGGGATGAGCTACATAGTTCACTGATTATAAACTCTTTTTTTTATTATTTGAAACCTGCTAATAAAATCTAAAACTATTTGTTTTGTGTATGTCACAAATCACAACTGCATATTTCTCTAGAAGTTATTGTTATACTTGAAGAAAATACTATGGGTATTTTATTATGACTTATAAAATTATCTCATTAATTTTGTTGGTATTAGTAATATTAATTACGTATTACAAAATTCTAATTTTCGGTATTTTCAATTGTAGAATTTTTTTTCATATACATAGATTTTTCACATTTAAGAAGTATCCTGTGGAGATACAAACATTGATTTTTCATACGAGAACCTAAATGTTTAAGGTTAAGAAAAGCCAGTAAAAGAGTAGTTTTATGGTAGGTTCAAATTTTTTTTTAGTAACACTGAATTAAAAATAAATTTAAAGAAAAAAAAAAATTTTTATGATATACTGATATAAGACAATACAACAAATCAAAAATCAATTTCCTAAATAAACTAGATAAGAGAAAGGAATTCAAATGTTTTCAAAATTAAAATCGTAATTTTTGCACCATTCTTTAGGACTTTCGTGTTGAAACTATTTTGACCGCAAAATACAGTGGCGTGTAACTGCGCATATGTACATTAGATTTCAAAAATTTTTAGCCATAGTTTATCTTTAATTACATAAAGTGTTCAGGGTATTCACACACACTATTTATCGGTCACTACACACACAGTATTACATAACTGACAATGGTTATATTATATTGCCTAAATCTAACACCTTAAAAATGGTTCGCTTTCAACAGCTTGAAATGCAAATTTCAAATCAGATGTTTTTTTCTGGAAAGTTGACGTATTGTAATACAAATTTAAATGAACATTTTTCGAGTTATTCAACTCTAATTAGAAAGGATAACATTCTATACCTTTGCAAATGGATATGAGCTTGGTAATTATAATTAAGTATGTATTAAATAATAGTTATTAATAATTACTAATTAGTCAAGTTTACACAAAACAATTTTTTAATATTACAAAATACTTATGAATAAAGAATTTTAATATATTATTCATACTTTGAATAAATATAGAAATGGGAAGAGCATGCTGAAAATCACATTGTATATTTAAAGTTTTATAAATAATAAAAATGTTAAGGTGGATATATGAAATTAATATGTTTACTATTTATAATTTGAAATGTAATATGATGCATTTATTGATTTAGTTGGAAGTTGATATATTTGTTACAACTTTTCTAAAAACGTATTTTAAAAGCTTTGTAAAAATATTAATAACAATAAGAAATAAAAAAGGTAGATAAGTGGATATCACTGCTGTAAAGTAGTTATCAAGAATTTCATTGAAATGGGTGTTATATTTGAATTCAATAATAAATCATAGCACACGAAAAAAAATATTCTGAACTGAGACTTTGTGACATCCTAGCATACTTGTATAAGTAATCAAATTTAATATTGCAAAAAAAAATATATAACCTCATATATTTCTAACTGAAAAACAATTTGGAAATTTTAGATTGATGAACTTTGTTAAAATTTGAACTTTATTTGATATCAAAAGTGCCTATGTATCTTTCATATTTTTGAACTTCCATCAGAGGAATCTAGCATTCAATGATCAAGCTTTCTTACTTCAATGAACATCTTTTATTGAGAATAATTTTAAAAATACAAAAAATTTGTTGTCATACAAATGGATAACAAATTTATGTGTGGCAATTTCAATTTTATTTTGTTAGATTTAATATTATATTGAATTGAACTATGTTCAAATTTAGATAGTAACAACATAACCTATATCCATTCATAATTTTTTTTTACAACATATTAATTTCTAAGCAAGTTATCATGATTTTTAAATTTTAATACTAAATTCATGATACTCTTTACTTGTTTAAAGATTAAAATATTGTAAAAAATTAACAGGAGAACACAGATAATGTTCTTATTTTAAACTTTGAAAATAGATCAATTCACTCTAAAAATGAATCCAACAACACAAGGTAAAATCAGCTGAAATTATATTTCCTGTTGTGCATGGCCCAGAGAGAAATAAATAGTGCACTGGCATCTTTATCACTCTGCTAGATCAATCAAAATCTAACTAATAATTCTTGATTACAAAGTATATTTTTTGGAATAGTTATATAGAATGAATTTGAGACAAGTAGCTTATGAATAGTAACAAGGCTGGGCAGAAACGAATTAAAAAGATAAAGTTAAGTTATTATCATTAATTTTACTAATTTTTAGTTATATACACTTAATAACTAAAGAGTTCCTTTTAATCAAATCAAATCAAATGTAATTAATAAATAAATAATTAGATAATACAATTATTGTTAATGACACATATTGCAAAAAAAAAAACATTTACTTTTAATTATTTTAAACCATATACCTAACTGGATATTTGTACATTAAATAAATAAGTTAATAGTAAGTTTCCATATAACTTTTATATAACTTAACTGAGTAAAAAAAAATAATTAGGATAACTTTTTTAAATGTTCACTTTCAACTTGTGGAAGCTAGACATGCATTTGTCGTCTCTGTCTTACACATCAAAGTTTTAGGTAAGAACATTATTTAAGTATTTATGTTTAAGCATCGGCGGATATATGGATGTTTTAATTTTCAAGCGAGCTATGAGAATTTTTGATTTGTGTTATTTCACATACTCTTATCTTGCTTGAAAATGAAAAATCCACCGAAGTTTATCAATACTTAAATTCACTTTACTTCAATATCAAAACTAACGGCAGACTATTCAAACTAGTGAACAAAATTTACTATGTCATAAGTTGGTAAAAAGCATGGGTAGCATCCTCTTAACATAACTCAATTAAAAATTATCTCATTAACTAGCCTGACCTTGAATATATAAGTACTTAAACTTTAGACGAGCACAGCCATATGGTATACCAAAAAAAAGTTTGTCTACTACTCTGCCCATCTAAACTTTTGAGTCATAATTAATGAACTAATTGTCAGAAATGTAATACTGATTAATCAAAATAGTCTTAACAACATTGTTCTAGAATATGAAATTAAAAATATATATTGTAATATGCTATACAAAATCTTTTATAATTATGTAGGGTTGACAGGCCAGTATTGAAATTGAAAACCGGTATTGCAGAACAAGATTAAGTATCGATATGAAAAAGTATGCCATGATACCAGTAGATACAGCAATACCAGCACATACCGGAATACCCATAATTAGCTAATACCAGAAAACTGAAAAATTATACTGAGGGAATAAACAATTTTTATAACATATAACGTATGTTACATTAAAACGAAAAAAATCATCTTTTCACTAATATACGGTATTGCAGTATATATTGTAAACCAGTACACCGTATCATCAGTATTTTTTGCAAAAACCACCATACAGATATAGGGCAGTATACAACAAAACCCATCAAACCTATAATTATAAAACTCATAAATTAATATAAAAAAAATTATAAGAATTGATTTTTATAATTTACCAAGACAAAATATTTGTTAAAATTTTTTATAAATTAACAATTTTTGTAGTATATCCAAGTGTAGTTAATTGCTTTTATTGGGCTTCCAAATTGACAATATAATTCAATAATTGAACTGTATGTATTGATTATACTATACAATTTACTCAAGTATTTTTAAAATATTCTACTAAATTTTGTTTTTGACAACATTAAATTGTCACCTCTTACACTATTTATACTAGCAAATACTAAAAAAATTAATTAAAAATGGTCTTTTAATAAAAAAATATGTATAATTATGAGAAATAAAATGTCATAAAATATCTAAAATCTAGTACGTCATATTATTATGATACATTTACTTAAGAGGACGCCATACCCTCTTGTGTGGTCTCAGTCTTAGAAACATGGAACATAGCAAATGTTGGAGTTAAAGAAGTAGATTAAGTTTAATTCTGTTAGTTTAAAAATTATGAGTGAACCACCTATTATAAAACTTGAGGGTTAGAATATAAGGACATTATCTGTGTTCCTGTGTTGGTCTTTTACAATAGTTCTATTTTTTGGCAAGTAATGTATGGAAAAAAAATTTTTCAATAGTACTAGATTTAATATATATAATGAAATTTCATTTAGCTATACATTTTTATTTACAGCAGATTATCTTTAATTTTTTTAATGCATTTTGGAAGTCCAATAAAAACAATAATATGCACAAAAATGCACTACAAAAATTATTTAATCATTCAATTTTTAACTTTTATTTATATTAAATGTACGAGTTGCATAATTGTTATGAGTTATTATAAAGGTTTTATTTATGTCATTAACATATAACATTTGTAGGTCATTTTTTACTTGTTAGGGCATTGGCATAAAGACCCTAATAATAACAGTTGGTCAGACAAAATTTAAGGTTTGAATGATTGTAGCTATTTGTCTTTAAGGATATCTGTAATCAATTGCTCAAATACTTGTATACATACAGGTTTAGATTTCTCAGGTTGAAAGCTTGAAATTTCATTTTGAACTAAATTTTCAAATCTTGACTCAGCTTCTGATAATCCATTATTAACTCCCTAAATAAAAGCAGAATATTAAATAAAATGACAATAAAATAACAACTTAACAAAAACACTCACTTGATCGGTACTACCATTTTCTTCTATATGCTGTTCAATTGCCTTACAAGCCTCTCTGAAATGTATAGTTTTACAACTATAGCTCAAAGTGTCTTTAAACTGAAAGTATGGTTTTAAACATCCCAGTTCAATCCAGGCACTACAAAAAAAAATTAGTCAAATAAGTAATTTATAATTGAATACAGGTAGCTCTTTGAAATTTATATAATTCAAAATAGAATAGGTTAAGTAAACGCCACACGGGCATTTTTTGATTCCGTTATACAAACGTGCATCGTAAATTGCACATTTACAATAAAATATTTTACTTCAAAATTAGAGTGAATTGACTTGTAAAATTTAAATTCAAGAACATCATTTACGACATTTTGGAGGATTTTGTTGATATTATTTTTAAGGAAAATATATGCATTTTTAAACTGTATACTTTTTGCGCATTTTAAAATGATCATAATTTACTTACAAATTACATCAAAAAATCCTCCAAGATGTCGTTGATAATATTTTTGCTTTAAATTTTATAACAAGAAAATTTACTCTAACTTTAGAAACGACAAAGTAAAATGTATAATTGTGAAAGTTAAAATTTGCCGTATAGTAAGTTTCTAAGACAGAGACAACAAATTAACATGTGCCGTTGTCTTAACACTTGAATATTATCAATTAGTTAAGTTTATTAAATAATTATCATACATTAAGATAAAATGCTTAAGTAAAGATAAATACATTATGGAAAAAAACTTGTCATCTTCATAAATAAATGTATACAATTTTAACTTACTAATTATTAGTGCCAAAGAAGAAAATACATTTGCAATTCTTCTTTGGTTTCTTAACAAGCTGTACAGTTGGCTCGCTCACCTAAAATTAACAAAAAGCCAGTTTAATACCAGTGCAAATATATACATAAAATAGAATAACTATGAGAACAAAAACTGAGTGTGGTCAATGTCATCACGCATGTGAAAAGGAGAAAGCCGTACAACAAGAAAAAAAACTTGAGTACAATTACATTATCAAACAACGACATGAACAGACAGACCTCTAACTGCACTATCCAAATTGGCTAGGGTGTGCTTGAACACACATTAAGCGAGACACTTAACAATTAAAAATATTAAAAAATTTGTCATTAGGTAAGCACTATTAGATTAAAATTGCTGAATACTGGGTCGCATTCCTCCCAGTCCGATCCCAAAAACAAGAACACGTAATTAAATTATGACACGCATAATAGTTTTTGCGTAGGACACATATGGTCAATGATCGATTCACATATCAACAGACTTTATTCAGGTCAAATTAATCGTACATGATGGATGGCAACAGTGATCAGCAGGGGTCCGTAAAGCCGGTAGTACACAAAAAGCATAACTCTAATGTAAATGTTGTAAACTACACATCGACGATTCATGAGCCATATCGTTGGACTGTCAGCTATGACTTTTTCTTAAAATATATGCGCCCGACGCACCAAAACATATAAATCGACGAGCGTATAACAATAGTAATAATAATGAGTATTTACACATTATAATAATATTATATATTATAAAATAAAATATTAATACTAGATATTATTATTTAAAAGACGGAAATAATACTCACGCGTCCTGGCCATGGCGGGAAACCCTTCATCTTGGCCCTGTGAACAGAAAAACGCACAACAGTCATTATCGACGCCGTCGAAGTAAATCGCGCTCTTTTTCATTTATTCGTGTAAATATCATAAAACATCGTCTCTAAATCGCGCGCCAGCTACGAGGTACTCACCAAACCAAATCGTTCACTTCATAACTCCATTCAGTCGTCATTTTCAATTTTCAGAGACGTACGGCAGATCGGCAGGAGAAAAATTTTCAAATAATCAAACACACAGAGAGGCTACTGACGATATGACATCGGCGGGCGAAGACAGTCGAAAATAATGGCGGCTGCGGCGTGTCCGTGTTGTTGTAGTCCGACGGGGAAGAGGGGGACGCTCAGCGATTTGCTCCCTACCCGTTGTCCCGCGCGTACTAACGTTATCGTTGCCACCAGTGCAGCCAACGCTACAACCGCGGTGGCCGTTATTCGGACGCGGCGTCCTTTTCGCGGCAAAAATGTTGTGGCACGCGAGTTATCCCGCGCGCGCGCACTACGATGTTTTAACAACAACGGATAGCAACTAGCAAGTATTGCCACAGAATAGATTAAAATGCGCCACACGCGAGCGCGTGTAGCACCGATGACAAGCGCGCCAACCTCAACGACGATAGTGGCGTCGTCGGTCGACAGCCGGATAATAATATGAATAATAATAATAACAATACCATTATCATAATTATTTTTTAAAAATTTTAAATTTTATTCACCGCACGATGACGGTCATCGCGGTAATGTCGGTAATCACTATTTGGTATGTCGCCGCGGCGACCGTGTGATAATGTCATCGTCACGATGTTAGGTTTAATATTATTATATTATATTGGGAAATACGATCAAATATTGTAATCATTGTCGGTGAATGTTGTGTTTATTTGTTTCGGCGGACACAGTTGTAACTTGTAACCGACAGCCGTACTTCTAGGCGGATCCGCGTCTGCGCTCGAACTTACGCCGAAAAATCATGCGGACCGGACGGAAATATAATAATATATCCGTCGCGCACGACAATCGATGACGGCTGCGCTCGCCGCAGAGAAGCAATATTGTTGTTTTTGTTATTATGGTTACGATATAATATTATGGTAATCGCTCACTCTGCGAGTCGTTTCTTAAACCTTCTTCCCCGCGCAAAACGATGACTTCGTAAAAATTCGTCGATTTGTGTACAACAAATCATAAAAATATTAATTAAAATAACATTCTTGAAATTATTGTGGTACGTTTGTCACTCTAAAATCATTTTTGGTTTTATTTTAACTATAGATAATTTAATAACATTTGGCTGTGCCTATTTGTAATGATAAAAAAAATTGCCTGCACCGACCCCTGCCCAGTAAAATTTTAACCAGCTAGCTCGTTGGTCGGTGGTTGTTATATGTTTTGAATTTCGTGTGATTTGGCTTTAGTGAACACTCGTTGGATACGTCGTAGGCAACCACCCACGGTCTCACGTAAGAATCTGATCCAAGTGTTCCAAAATATGAATTTGGTCAAATTCATGTTTTTTAAACAAAATAATTTTTAGTGCTGATTGAAACTGTATAAATCAGACCAACTTTAAATGCATATTATATACTATATAGGACATGGGTACTATTGAATCTGGACAATTTTGTACTAAAATGCGCTCGTTTTTTAGAAAGAAGAAAATTAATTCAGTTGTTGAAAACAGAAAAATACGATTATTGTCCGTGATTTTTAATAATAATTTTGTTCAGAATTCATGATAAAATAGCACAAAATATTTAATTTAATGTACATATCACTTACGTCGTCGATAAGTGGCTACAATTTTTTTGTTATTCTCTGAAGTCTGAACTTATATTTATTTACGGTGACGACGCCGTATAATTGAAAAATGCTCTCAAAACTACGGTTGGTACGGTTGGTACGATTAGGTCACGAATACCCGACGACTGTATTCGTGCAGCTATATTATACAAAATCTTTTAAGCCTATTGCCTAGCTGCTGACGGCGTCATTTTCATAACGGTTTTTGATTTTTCAAATATTGAATAACACGGCGGGCAGAGGCGGATTTAAGCGCGTTATGCGTGCGTGTCGTTACAAAACATTCCAATAGTGCTCGGAAAATACGGCGCAGGTTCAATATCTGGTCCGCAGGTGGTTTTGCTATGTAGGTCTGGTTGCCACCTACTGATTGAGTGTAAAATATGCATAAGCATATTAATGTCTGAAAAGTGAAACTATTTTTATTTTCTACCAAAAAGAATAACCATTGCTCAATAAAAATAAAATAAATTGTATTATTTATTTATTATTAATTATTATATTATTAATTACGTCTAATTATTAAAGAAATCAAATTTGAAATGAATAGCTTTATGCCCTCACCACCACACCCATCTATAATCTATAGGTATATTGTACCATGCTACAGATTTAAAAATTAATTTTTATTTCGTACAATATATTTAAAGTTTATTCGAAAATTAATTTTTTTATATTAATACAATTTATGATAATATTTCATTGTTTTTAGCGTATATTTATTCTCGAGCCCTGAATTTGCAACATATGAAAATAATCATGCAAGTTTGCTTGACTATGCATTCTGTAAACGTATATACATAATAGCAATTGCACATTTACACCCGAGAGTTAATGGATATCCTGATGGTAATAACGCATGTAACGAACTTAACAACGAGTAAACAGGAAGTCAGAAAACTATATAATACGTTTGGAAATGTTCATTATTGCGTGTTGCGTGGTAAGTATGATTATTTGCGATAATTTATAATTATACAATTTTGATGATATTTTTAAAACATGAGAGGACTGTACAATACTCCATTCACCATTGTCACTTATATAGGTAGATAATATTTTATATCGGGCATCGGGTATTGTAGTGTATTGACTGTGCTCAGTGAAGTATCTCTATATTCTACATATAGTTAATAACCAAAGTTCGGAACTTATAGCATTTTCATATCCATCAAAGGTGATGTAAAACATAGCAGTGATGAACAATTACTTTATAGCACGGAGAAATCAAATATGAAATTTTATTTTGCATATGTTTGTATATTTTGTGGGTTTTGCATATTTTAGAGGTTTTTGCATATACTTTTTTTTTGTTATACTGACGCATATTTAATGATTGGTGAATATTATTGTTCAAAATGTTTTAATTAAAGCTATCTGTCACAAAAATGTTGCACATGAATGATGTGATTTATAAATACTCGATAAATCGATAATCATGTATATCTTGGATGGTTAATATTGTAAGACGTCTGATATGAGTACTTTCTACATTCTACTTATCTACATTTTTAAATTAGTACCGCTCGGTAAATTATAAAAATAATCCATCTAGTGATCGATAAACTGCACCAGTGCACATTTTTTTCAGAACATTCAAACCCCGATTTTTAATAGTTTTTTTTAAAATTTATTAATTAATGATTATATTTAAATTCCAATTTTTTTATGTTTATGTGAAATAAATTCTTTTTTAATGACTTTTTAAGTGCTTTTTTTCATTTTGAGTGCATATTTTTAAGTTTACCGGGTCATAAAAAAGCGCATGTTGTAGTGCTTTTTAGTACTGTAAGTCCCGAACCCTGTTAATAACATGAAGTCGTAACGACTAACGAAGTAAAACTATTCGGGTTATCCAGAAACTGTTCCTATTTTTTCCACGTCACAAGTTTTTGTGTTTAATTATGTTTAACTTATACATTTGTAATTTATAAATTTCTTCATATAAATCTAACCCTAATATGGGGATAAAAAACCTCAACATTTTTATCTTAATGATTTAATCAAAATTGTTGAGGATCACAACTGTTGACATTAAATATGTAATAAATAGGCATAAAAACATTTTACAAATGTAAAATAAATGTATCCCGCAATTGATGTATAAGTTGCACTATAGTTCCGTGTTACCTACGTGCGTATACTGTAAAGACTTCAATTATAGTACTTTGTTGTCCTTGCCATTGCATAGAAACTATTTTTAAAAAGAAAGCAAAACTCCAAAAAACAGATATTAATTAGAAAATAACCAGAATACTATTTTATAACGTCAAAAACTATTATTATTGTTCGACAAACAATTCTATGATTTGCAAACGATGTATTTTTTATTTCGTTTTATTTTTTTAATGTACCATGGAAAACAGAATTTATCATCGATTGACTAAAGTCTAAAAGTCTATACTGAATATACGTTTATACTTCAAAAAATTCGATTATTACAAACAATTATTGAAACTTTCCTAATGCCTCTTATGGGGATTGGAGCACTCCGTATTTTTCGAAGCTTTAGACCAATAAGCGGAAGATTAGTTTATGTACTTCCTGATGTCCGATTATTGTTTTAAAAATACGTATGAATTTATCATCCTCTTTTCTAGGTTATGTAGGAAACAGATTTTTGATTTTTGTATTCAATAAGGCTTAAAAAATATGTTAACTTTTCCAAAAAGTATAAAAGTATTTTTATTTTATATACATACATTCAGTTTAAAAACATCAATTATTTTTCCTACATAACCTAGTAAAAAAGTTACCGAATACAGATCTATTTTCGAAATGTAAATCGGATCATAGGAAGTAACTAAAAAAATCTTTCTCTTATAGTTAGTTTGTACTGATTTTAAAAACGGAAAATTGTCAAAAACTTAATTTGGTGACCTGTGCATGCGCGTGTTTGAGTGAGACTGTTCTTAGAATCGTAGACGATCTAATATCATGGTCATAAGGTACAGATATAGTAATGTTCTCGGAAATAATACTAACTCCGAAAGTCGTCGCTTATTCAATTATTAATTTTGTATTTCGGTGTTCATTCATTCAATCTTCAGTCTTCATTTCTTCAATCGTTCTCTGTAATATTTTTTCAAAAATGGGTAAAGATTGGCGTTATGGTCAAAAATCTCGCCGGAAATTATTTGTTCCAAAGAAGAAACCAAAACATAATTTAGCGAACTTGAACTCAAAAAAATGTGTAACCGTTGTTCCAGACAACTACCAACAAGTAAGATACGATTTTTATATGTATACTATACATGTTTTCAATTTTTTTAATTCATTAATGATCATATTATTACCTATAAGGATTTATTAAAAAATATATATAAGTTATTCTTTTAGAACGTAGCAACTAGTCCAGATAATACAACGCCAAAAAAAAATTATGTCGATACAAATATTGAAGTTCACCAAGTCTATAATAGTATACCAGGTCCATCTGGCTATATTAGTGAAAAGTAAGTAACTGGTATTTAAATATTTAAATATTAAGTATATTTGATTTTCGAACAAAACCTATGTTAAAAATGTTTTGAATAACACAATATTTAAAAACTAAAGCGATCTTCCGACAATTTGTTATATGGATAGAACAATTTGTAACAAATCTTGTATATAAATTATAAAACAAATTCAAATTTTGAAAAAAGCGGGTAAGTGGGTATCGCTCTGCTGTACATTAGGTGGCGTATGGATTACTATTATATATTATAGAAGTGTTAAATTTGAATGTAATGATAGGTATCATTGCATACGAAAAACGATTCTGAACGGAGATGATTTGTCAGCCTAGGTACTAGGATATGCTATATTACTATACTGTCAGCTAACATTTTTTTTATCGATATTTATATAAAAAAAAAAATAAACAAATGAATATTTAAAATGCCTATCAATAGCATTAAAATAAGCGAAATATTTTGAAAATTAAATCATGTAAAGAAAATGCCAATCTAAATAATTGGTGAAATTTTCAAGTACCTACAGCTTATACTTTTTGAATTATAACAAATATTTAAATTCGTTTGACTTGTTAAAGGACAAATCGTTATCGTTACGCGATTTCGTAAAAATTTAAAATTCGAACGCTCATAACATTTTTCCTATAACGACGCTTCAAGTTTTCTCTATAGCTACTTGAAGAAAAACTTATGGAAAACTTAGTGTTGAATTTTTTATCCTTACATGTAAACACAACAAATTTTATGATTATTCAACTTCAAAATTACTTGCAAATTTTGGCGATTTTGACATATTTCGTAAAAATTTTAACTATTAGGTAACGCTTATAAAAAAAAAATGTGACTAACGATTTTTGATTTTTTTTACTACACTAAGAACCACTCATAAGGAACCTTGTATTAAATTTTCAAGTTTTTTTGACCATCCAAAATTTTTTTATCGACATTTCAAAAAAAAATTCTCAGAAAAATCGAAAATTTCAGTGGTCTATAAATAGCTCAAAAATTCGAAATATTTTGAAAAGGTAACTGTATATAGATAACACTAATATAAACATTTGGTGAAAATTTCAAGTATTTACAGTGATTAGTTTTTGAGTTACAACCATATAAAAAAATCGATTTGGTCGAAAACTGGTTTTGCGTACAAATTCCCGTTTTTTTTGTTTTTCTCGATTTTTTTTGAAAACTGTCAAAAAATGTTTAATTTTGACCTCTATAATGCACCAAGGATATTTACTTAGTCATTGGAAACCACCCCTGAAGTTTGAAATTGAAGCATTATTTCGACTAGTTATGCTGTATATCATATATATCATATATATGTATATATCATATATTATGTTTATCACTCAGTTCAGAATCTAAAAATCGTCAAAATCACATAGTTTGCTTACTATTTTATAGTACCAAACAAAACTATAAAATGTGCAATTTTTGTAGCTAAGATTTGAATATTTAATTGAAGTTTCTTGCTAGTATTTCATATCGGAACAAAAAAATTTTAATATTAGGTATAATATTAACATTTTTTTTTTTTTTATAGATATTTTAAATTTAATTGTAGACGAATGTACCATTGTACTAACATTAAAATATATTACTAATTGTAATAAAAATATAAATTATCCTAGACCTACTGTACAGCACATCTATATACCCACTTGCCCTTTTTTTTCGTGCTACAAATTGTTTACACTTATTAAACGATAATATTTGTATAATTAGGACCTGTGAACTAAATGGAAGAAGACTTATAGATATACAGTTCTTCATTACGTCCATTCAATCTATTCGACATGAGGGTTTTGATTGTTCATTTCGCGATTTAAATTTAATAAATGAAACGAGAAAGGGATTTATATGTAAATTTGTTTTTAAATGTAACAATTGCGGAATAAATGAAAATATTTATAATGAAGATCCAAAAACAAAAGATTTAAATGTTAATATGGCAATGGTGACGGCGATGGTTAATGTTGGTCAAGGTTTTTCACAAATGGATGAAATTTGCGCTACCCTGAATATGCCGAATATGTGTAATCGTACATATCAAAATGTACATAATGATGTTTACCATCATATGTATGATTTGGCTTGGAATGAGATGGAAGCTGCTGGTAAGGAAGAGGCAAAGTTGGCTATCGAAAAGGGAGAAGTAGATTTACAAGGCCGCCCTAAAATAGCTGTAATTACAGATGGTGCTTGGAGTAAAAGGTCCTATAAAAGAAACTACAATGCGTCATCGGGAGTAGTAATTATATATAAGATTTATAAAATTGTCATAATTTTTAAATTAAAAATATAATTTCAGGCTTGTATTGTTGGTCAAAGAACCAAAAAAATTTTATTTATAGGCATACGAAACAAATACTGTTGTATTTGTCATAGATCATCATCATTAGGCATCGAAAGTAAAGACCACATATGCTTTAAAAACTGGAATTCGCCTTCAACTGCAATGGAAGCAGACATTATAGTTGAAGGTTTTAAAAATAGTTTAGATATGCATAATTTAATATACAATCGAATGATTGGTAGGTACAAGTTTAATATTATTATATAGTATATATATTTTGTGTTTGATTAACATTGTATAATAATATAGGAGATGGCGATAGCAATGTCATAAAACGTTTACGTTTGGCACAACCCTATGGTCCTGATGTAATAGTTAAAAAAATAGAATGTTCCAACCATATTTTGAGGAACTATATTAATAAGCTTCACGAGCTTTCAAAAAAAAAAAAAAGCAGTAAAGGTGAAAGTGTGCCGGGTTGTATGCGCAATTTATTAGTCAGTCGAGTTGAACGACTTCGTGCTGCTGTTATAAAGGCGGTAAAATACAGAAAACAACAAAATAATATTTTATATGAGGATTCGGTTAAAATGCTGAAGAAAGATATTGTCAATAGCCCTAATCATGTATTCGGTGATCATGAGAATTGTAGTGATTATTTTTGCACGAGGAAAAATTTAGGTATAGTAATAATTATAATATAATTTTGAACATTCATAATTTAAAAAATGAATATATTAAATTATTTTATAAAAATTAAAATGTATTATGTACATAGTATATAGGTATAAATATTAAATATATCACATACTATAAATTAATATATTATATCTTTACGACTATACCAGCACAAAGTAAGTTTTATAACCTAATGAATCTTATAGGTAGTGGGGAAAAATCCAAAAATTTTAATAAGATATTTATCAATTTTATTTTATGTATGTATATTATATGCTATTATATTCGTGATGAGTCTTATATCGGCGTTCGCTGTGTATGGGTACTTCTTATAAAATATATATACTTATAGGTACATTTATAAATAATTTTAGGCATTAGTTTATTACTTTATTATTTTCTAGGCGAAGAAAATTACGTTCCAGATATGAAACGAGTAGGCCTATGGGATGATATAGGTTCAATAAGAAGTTATTTTGATTATTATCATCGTCGTTCTGAGAATACCCGCATATTGCAGCCGATAGGTAGACGCCAGTGGAACGACAACGCGGTAATGGCACAGATAATAGATTACACACACTAATGTTCATTAACTACTCACACAATGACACCGTTCAAAAATGCATGTAATAAGAACTGCCTAAATATTACTCCTTAAAATATGCTATGCTCCAACCCCCTTAAAAGAATTAAATGAAAAAAAAAATAATAATTTGAAAAAAAAGTTTGAAAAAAAATAATTTGTAAAAAGGTTGAAAAAATAATAATTTTAATAAAGTTTTTTATACTTTTGCATTCCCATCTAGATTATTTCTAATTCAATCACTGCTTGAAAATCACAAAACTGTCTTATAAACAAAAAAAAATAATAAATAGATTAAAGTTAATAGTTATACTATTAATGAAATAATTAAGAGTTTATTGTGGTATTTATAGTTGGGTAGTTAGATCACTTAGATCTATATTATCATTAAAATAATTGAACTTAGATTTTAGGAAATTAATTATCTAGACTCTAGGCTCTAAAGTGTCATCATTTATCATCTTATGATGAAATATTTAAACTTTACACAAATTCTAATAACTTTCAATAAATAAACTTTGTCAAACAACAGCCATCATGTTTCAGTAATATACAACTATACATATTATATACAAGATATCTTTATTTTAGAAAGACACTAGATAACAAAAAAATTGCAAGAAAGAGGTTATCTGTGTTATGAATGAGCTCAAAGCTTTAAACTGTCTATTTTGCATTGCATTGGGTTCATCTGCTATTATATTATATAATGGTTGTAATAATTTCAAACATATTCATGATGTCGTTAAATTACACAAAGAATCGTCAACCCACAGAAACTCAGTAGAATCTTTTAATCAATCTGCTTAATGATAAATCTATTGAATTTGAATCAATAACCAAAAAAATCAAATACTAGATAATACCTATATTATAAATAAGTTTTTGAAATAGTTCAGTTTCACTTAGAAACTCTAAAAGGCTATATAAATGGAATGATGAAATATTTTTAAATTTTTTCAAAATGTTTAAAGATGTGTGTAAAATATAATCCTATTTATAACGATACTTAAAAGTTAATATTAAGTACCTGTGTTGGTAAAATTATGAGTTCCTACAGTTAATACTTATTGAACAACAACAAAACCACTTTTGTTCTTTTATGTAAAATGTACATTTCATAAGAATTTGAACTTCAAATGTTCATAAACAATTCTTAGGATTAACTCTTAATTTTTGTTTCCAATAATTACAACAAATACCATCTTGATCAAATAAAATCATTACAAAAATATTATTTATTTTGTAATACAATTTTGAACTACATTATGAATTATGATTGTTTCATTTCAATTAAAAAAATAAAAAAAAAAAAATAATTTGAAAAAAAAAATAAAGATTTAATTTTAGAATATAAATGTTTAATAAAATAAAATAAATTGAATGAATGTTCCTTGTCATTGTTTTCTGAATTAAGTTTTGTATTTTGCATTAATGCATTTTTCAAGAAACCCTGAAATGGCACAGCTTAATTAATATTTTAAACATCATCCTCAAAAACCAAAATTCAATGAAGAAACTCCATTTAATTTTCAATAAGCTTTCTTTGGAAGTAATGGCTTTGAATGAAAATGGTTAACCTACAATAAAAATCCCAAACAATTATTCTGTATTCTGCTATTTGTGTCTTCCATTTTCTTCTGAAAGTAATAATTTTACTAAAGGCTAGATGTATGGAAGTCATACTTATATTCAAATTGATGAACATGATAAAAGGACAATACATAAAAATTATGTTTCAGTTTTTTTCCTCCATTCAAATGAACATCATGTTGGTTCATTACTTTTCTGTGAAACTAAGAAATAAAGAAAAAAAACCACAAAATTGTTACAAGAGTGATTGAAGCTGTTAAACTTATTGGGAAGCGTGGATTGAATTATAGGGGAAATCAATTTGAAGCGGCATACCTATACATAAACTAATGCATTTGTTGATAACAGAAATTTCTTAGAAATCATATTATTTTTAGCAAAATATTATTTTCAGATGAAAGATCACTTGGAATAGCTGTAATAAAGAAGGCATAAAGCCCTCGGAAGTGGTAGTAAAGGAAGAGGAGGACTAGTTATATTTATTTCTAAAACAACAGTTGATTATGTTATTGCTGCAATAAGTTGTTTGTTTAAAAAATCAAGTTTAAAATGCTAAAATGTATGCAGTTATGCTGGATACTTCTAAAGATTTTACATCATCGGATCAATGTGCAGTAGTTTTAAGATATATGAATGACAATGGTGTACACGAAAGCCTAATTGCAGTTGTTAACTGTTCAAATTCAACAGGTAAAGGCATGCACAATTTATTACAAAGTGTTTTACTTTTAAAGTTTTAAATGATTTGAATGTCAAAAACTCTATTACCAATACTATCGACGGTGCGGCTAATATGCAAGGGGAGTACAATGGATTCTTGGCATGGCTTAATGAATCATCCCCAAATCAAGTTCATGTTTGGTGGTACTGCTATGTATTAAATCTAGTTTTGTCAGATGCTTCCAAATCACCATTGACTGCTGCATTTCTTTTTAATTTGTGTAATAGTTTAGCAATGTTTTTCAAAGATTCACATAAGCGTATGAGAGTTTGGACAGACGATGCCATAGTCTACATCAACGCTTACAAAGTATTAGTGAAACAAGGTGGTGGAGTTAATAAGTTGCACTTGTTAAAACATTTGGATCAACTGAAGGTCCATGTCAGAGCAATGCATTGTATGTTGATGTTTTAATGGCTTTATATGATATTCTAAACGATGAAAAATCTACACCAGATAAAAGGGTCAAAGCTGAAACTATGGAGAAAAAACATTTAAGAATATTAGATATTATATACAATATTTAAAATTACTGGTCCTTTATCGAAATACCTGCAATCAAAATCCATGGATTTAATTACAGCTCTAAACCCAGTTGATGGAGCACTTGAACAACTTGAAAAAAGTCAAAGAAATATGGTATGGATAAAATTATCTGCAGATTCATTGGTTACTTGGGCTAATACTGAATTAGATTTACAATTTAATGGCGATAGTCCAGTAAATGAAAAATCACCTAATGTAAGAACCAGAAAGAATCAAAGAAAACAATGTTACCAGGTGAGATTAGTAATATGGTACATGAAGATCCTTTAAAGAAATTTGAAATAGAAGTTCATAACAGAATATTAAATATAGTTATTGAGAATATTAAAAAAAGATATATAAAACACAGAAAATTGTTTAATGATTTATCATGTTTGTTACCAATCTATTTTTCATGTATAATTCAAAATGGTTTGTCTGATTAAGCATTGACTGCTTTGTGTGATAAATTAGAGTTTGAATTCAAACTAAACAACTTATAACGGTCTAAAGGATGAGTAATACATTTTGCAAAAATTGAGACAAATTATAGAAAAGTCTTACTGAATCATTTATTACTTCATACTCTTTGGAGCAAACACAGGACGAAGATGACGTCATTGATTTTAAAATTAATCTTGATTCACAAGATATGACTTGCAAGAGTTGCAAAAACTGTGTTGCTTGTTTCTATAACATTTTACAAAAATATAATTTATATTGTGATACATATGCTAATTTATTTTTGGTATAGGTACAAATATGTACTTACTATACCATCAACCCAAGTATCATGTGAAAGATCTTTTTCTTTCTTAAAAAATATTAAGTCAAGACTTTGTAGTCAACTTTCAGATCCAAAACTAAAATCATAAATAAAACTAAAAAACAGAAATTAACACTATTAGATTCAGATAAAATTATAGAAGAATTACAAAAAGAGAATTCTCTTTAAAAAAACCTTTCATTGTAAATTAAACCAGTTTCATTTTTTTTTTCAAATAAAAAAAAATTAATAACATTTATGTGTAGATAATAGGTACCTACCTACTATTGTCATTCTATTATTATTATTTTTATTATTACATTTTATTGCTTATTTTTTTTTATAAATTATAATTATAATTTTATATTTTTCTACATTTAATTGTTAAACGTTGATTTTATAATAACATTGATTACAGTTTAGTAGTAATCAGTTTATTTTATATTAATACTGTAAAGATAATATCTGTTTTAGTATGTAAGGTTATGTAGTCTGTAAGTAGGTAATTAGTAATATTGTTGTATTTTTCAAATACTACCTATGTATTTAAAGTAGGAAACGTGATTTTTATTTATAAATTATATCTGATAACAACTACCTAGGTATTTTATATCTGCCTGGCTAAACCTCACTAATATAATAATATAATGTAAGTAATCGTTTTTGTAGGAACAATGAACACACCATAAAATGCTATTAAGTATTTACCACCCATTTAAAAGACTAAAAAAAAATCGTAACAATAATTTTAACTTTTAAGACGTTAGTTACAGCGGTGCATTTGAAGAAGTATACATTTATTAAAGAATTCAAGCATTGTAAATGAGTAAGACATTGGCAAGAATAAAAATTATTTAAAATTAAACAATAAATAGTCTACACAAAATAAAAATATCTGATGAAAAATTAAAGGAACACAAGTTATATTTTCATTAATAACAATCCTAGTAAATTACATTTAGATATTTTGAAAGAACATTTGTTAAATTAATAATAGATCATCAGAATAATTCATAAATCAAGTACCTATATATGTGATCCCTTAATAAATATATAAGTTTGTGATGTATTTCAATATTTGTGCTTCATTACATTTTTAAAACCTTAAAAGTTTAAAGATTTTTAAATACTATATATTATATTTATGATGGGTACAAGTGATACGTCCTATCGAATAGAACTTTCTTCATTTATTTATCGATGGTTTATTTATTTTTACTTCAAATTAATATGTTTAAATCACTGTATGTCTGTATTATACTGTAAATACCTATACTGTATATTTTAATTCGTGGTTTAAGTTGTTCAGCGTAATTTTAAAGCACAGTTTAAGATAATCTATCTTAAACCGTGTTTTAAAGTAAGTCGGCGAAGATAATATTATGTTCGCCGGCAAAAATAAATGTCTAATTTCCATATTGAACATCGTATTGTATTCGGCAACACTGTACAGCTGATAAGCGGATGAGTGGCCGTAAAGTCAGTTACAGCCTTAGAATATATATATATATATATGTATATATTTGCATTGTATATAACGTATTATTATCGCCCAATGCCCTCACGGAAGATTTATTCACCGTTCACCGTCCGCACACTTAATTATTTGCGAAATTGCGTTAGTTTTAACCATTACTCATTATTAGTCATCACGAGTTTACGCTTGTTGTCGGCTTAAGTGCTAACAATTCTTGGATATCTGTACCTCAGACTTGACGTTAGGTAGGGACGTCCATTTATGAGTCTGTCGGGCACAGGCACGTCGTTCCTTTGTTACGCACATAGATTTTTTTTAATAAATTTGTGAAATTTTCCGACACCACCGCATCCGGTATGGCGACCACGATTTTGATGGCGGTGCCCACGAAACGCGCGTCCGAAGTGAACATAGTGAAACCTTTGCGAAATCTGATATCGTCACACTACAACTCGGCTGACAATCCCGAAGACTACACCGAAGCGATCAACGAACTCGGCAAACTCCGCAGCCAGGCGCTCTGGAAGGTGTTGGACAAATATGATAACTCTCTTGAACTAATATACACGTAAATCAGCTTTTTAGGAATTCAATTTTATATAACAATAAATAAAACCATGCACCTAGGTAGTCTATGTATTATGTTTTTGTTTGCAGGTATTATGATCAGATAACTTCATTAGAATCAAAAGTGCCTCCATCTGAAGTACAGATTCCTTTCAAGTGGAAAGATGCATTCAATAAAATGACATCATTCTTTGCTAATGGAAAAGTCAGTATAAGTATGTTCAAATTGTAAAATACTTACTCAAATTATTTTATAGTCATTTAAGATTAGTATTTTTATTTTAATGTTTGTTTTGTAATCTTTAGCTCTATGTTCATTTGCTTATGAGAGAATATGCGTACTATTTAATATAGCAGCTCAACAAAGTGCAATAGCATCTGCTCAAAATTTAGAGACTGATGATGGATTAAAAATGGCTGCTAAACTTTTCCAAGTAAATAAAATAATCACCTTTATATTGTACAATTTAAGTTAAATGTTATATTAATAGAATAGTCTGCCCATATTATCATAGTAGTCTAAGTTTCAGCTTGAGTTGTACTCAAGTTGAAAATATCACATTAATGGGATTCCACAACACTTTTTTTGGAGTAAAATGGACCTATATCAGAGATGGTAAACCTATGACATGCGCACACTATTTTAGTGACACACACGAATGTATAAAAGTTTGATACTTTTACATTTTTTGAAAAAAAACAGGTTATCGAATGGATTTGTTGACACGCAGGGAAAACAAAATCCAACCAAAATTGTTATTTGACACGCTGGTACCAAAAGATTTGCCATCCCTGACCTACATGGTTCCAAAGCGCTGAGTTGGATACTGTAAAAATAAATTTGAAACATATTTTAATTTATTTTAAAGTCTATTTTGACTCCTTCAAGTAAAATTATTTATAAAAAAAATTTTTTGTTTACATATTTTGCTAAATTTAAAATGATATTTTTGTTTTACAAAATAATTACAAAATAATAAACTAAAAATGTAGCTCAAAAGATTCCAAAGTTAACTTAATTTAATAATAACAAAAATCTGCTTAAAATTATTATCGGTGTACAACTCAAGTTGGTATATTAAAACTCGTTTAGGTCTGATTTACAACATTTCACCATGAAATAATTCCGATTTTAGCCATTTTATAACATGTGAAAGTGAGAGCATAAAGCATACTGACCTTACTCACAGTCAATGGATTTAAAATAGTCTTCATAATAAATTCAAATATGTTTTCAAAATTATTATGGGAGTAAAACTCCAAGTCAGTATGTTAGAATGCATTTATTTTTCTTCAAAAAATGGTAGTGTGAATTCCGCTTAACATATATTATAGCAAGTACATTTTGCCTGTTAATTAAATAAGAAATTTTAATATTTGGTTGTATTAGAAAATAAAATAAAGCTGAAGTTATAACCTGTTAAAACTTAACATTAGTTCTCAGACAACTTTTGAATACTAATATCAATTTTATGTCAAGGTTTTTATCTAATCATATAATCTAATGTTGTATAGCTAATTGTTGTACACATTTTTCTTGCTAACATTTTCCACAAAAAATTTAAAATATCAATAGTTTAATTAATTTACTCTGTTTGGCGAGGAACATAATTTTAACCGCACATGTAAATTTTGTTGCTCCGCTGTCCCGGTCTAATTACTAAAATCTCAATTTTGAGCACCCCCACTTGTTACCCTGCTATAGTAGAACTGGTCTTGAGGGCTCAGTGTATGCAGGGCTTTAAAAAATAAATGTAATTAAAATCAAAATGATCTTAGCGTTATAATTATTGTATCAAATTTAATAAATATTAATAGTTATTTTTTATTATGTGCTTTAATGTACACCCTTTAATGTGTATTTTAATTTATTGTACTACAATTTTTGTTTTTTAGCAAAGTGCTGGTATATTTAATACTTTAAAAACAACAGTTATGAATGTTATTCAACAAGATCCAACACCAGATTTAAATCCAGATACATTGGCAATGTTATCATCTCTTATGTTGGCTCAAGCTCAAGAAGTGTTTATAGTTAAAGCAAACATAGGTAAGAAATTTGTATTGTTTTTTGGCAGTTATGTTTTATAACTGTTCAATAGATAAACTCAAAAAATGTATGTTAGTTGTATGGTATAGAATACAAACTACTCTTCTTGCAATAAATACGTTTATATTTGGCTGAGATATACTTAATCTTGTATACAGTTTGTAATTTAGATCATTTTAATTCATGAATTAATACAAATATATGGTGTCAAGTGACAGACCAACATGTAGGTAGAGTTGAAAGAGTTATGAAATGAGTGATGAGTAAAGAGATGTGTGCTCAAGAGAGTAGGAAGAAATTGATAATGGAATATTTCCAGAATTATTAGATCATTATTCATAGACGTGCTTGAATCCAAATCCAAATTGATTGCTACGAATGTTAATGTCTTAAAGTAAGATGAATTTGTTTGTCAAAATATTTTAATATATTTGTATAAATGTAGGGATAATGCTCAGAGCAAGGATTATCTGCATATTTAATTTTTTTTTTTTTTAGATAAACAAATTAGTTTAATGCTTATAAGTGGATGAATAATTAAAAGTATTGGCTCAAGGTCTATGAAAAAAAAAATATATTGGATAAGATTTCGGTCGTTTTGATTTTATGTTTGTAATAATGTTTCTTACTGGATCATAAAAAAATAACTTAAATCCACACAACAGTACCTCAAGTCTTACTATATTTTATGTAGGATGTACATTTTTAATAACTACGCAATGGCACAATATGTTGGTTCAAATGGAAACGAATGACACTTTTGGCAACAGCACAGTAGAATTGACAGACGACATATACTTACTATATTTTTTTTCTTCAATTCAGGGATTGGTTTTAAAAAAAAATTATGTACTACTAATTCATTCTCCATTTTTCCCTGTAAGGAGTAACTCCTGCATCTTTCATTATTTGGCTGATGTATTTTGTTCTAGGTCTTCTTCATGATCTTGTTCCTTCTATTGTACTTTAAATTATGCAATTCATCCTCATGCCTCATCATCTGCCATCTCCTTACCTTTTGAGTAGCTATTAATGTTCATTTTTCTTTCATTATTTTTAAAATATCTTCATTTGTACTTATTTCAGTCCAACTTATACTTTTCTGCGTCATATCTATAGTGTTCTTGTTTGCTTTTGTGATATCCTTTATAGTACAAATCAGTGTCGGCCTGGCCAAGGCAGCTAGGCAGTGATCGCTGCCTGGGACCCTGTCTTTTTTTTTATATGTATATTTAAATGCGTTTGTGACTTGTGGCGTGAGCTAAGTAATATAATAATAGTAAATAAGTAAAAGTAAAATTATTGGGTAAATTGTATAAAATAGAGGTCTAATCTGATCTTACTGCTGCTAATTTACTTCCAGTTATTTTGGGTGTTTTCATTTGGTTGTCTGTATGTGTTTCCTATTGATATAATACGTAGCACAGTAATACCTAACACAAAGTCTTCTTGCATTTTTCTTGATTCAGTATGTCTTCATTATTTGGTGATATTCCTTCAACATTGATTGAAATTATCGTGAATGTTGGCTCTGTTAAGTGCCGTTTTTTGCTTGATGCCATTAAGGAATATTTATTGCCTATTTTGTGAAGAATTTGGTAGCGAAATAATTTTCTGTTGCTGACTCACATATATCAAGGAAAGAATTCCTCCATATCCTCCCCAAAGGTTTTACATCAAGATATTTTTGTAATCGTTGGAATAGGAATAATTTATTTTATATCAAATATTGAGAGGGTTTACTTAAACTGGGGTTAGTCACTTAGTCCTAATTTAAAGGTTTAGTCAACTTTATAATTTGTTATTTTTTGTAAGTGGATATAAATAACATATTTATGTAATAATTATTGTTTAAGTACCTACTGAAATTATATTTATGTTTAATTTTTTTTTTAGATAAAATGAAAGATCAGACAATTGCTAAATTATGTGCACAATGTGAAGAATTTTATGCAGACACAGCAAAAATGATGGAGAGAGAAACAGTTATGATGTCATTGGATAAGGAATGGACATCAAATGTAAACACTAAATATTATTAAAATTATCTGATTTCACTAATATTAAAACATTTTTTAAATTAAATTTATAGGTTTATGGAAAACAGTCAATATTTCATGGTTTGGCCCAATATTATCAAGCAATGGTTTGTAAGGCTAATAAAACTATTGGTGAAGAAATTGCCAGGCTTAATGTATGTATAAAAAATAATTTGAGATGACTACAATATAATTATAAATGTTGATTGTTATGATATTATTCAGGTAGCTATTTCATATATTAAAGTTGGCCAAGAGCGATGCGCTCGTTCATATTACAATGACCGTCTAAATAAAGCTATACAAGAGTTAACTGAAGCAAAAAAAGACAATGACTTCATTTATCATGAACGAATTCCAGATATCAAACATTTAGAACTAATATCTAAAGTTGCAATTGCCAAACCTACTCCTGTGCCATCAAAGTTTTCATCCAAATTTAAAGGTATACATTTATATTTAAATTGCTTATACTTAATTTGGTATTATTCCACTTATGTTGTTTCCTTTAAGATTTATTTGAAGATTTAGTGCCAATGTCAGTTCAACAAGCACTTAGTGCATATGATGTTCGTAAAACAGAACTTGTTAATTCAGAAATTGGAAAGTTGAGAGAATCTACACAAATATTGAATGGGTATGTTGTATATTTATTATTTATTTACTCTTAAAAATCATAATAATTGTATATTTTTTAGTATATTAATATGTTGCTTTTGTTCATAGATGTTTGGCGTCATTAAACTTGCCAGCAGCACTAGAAGATGTTAAAGGTGTAGGAATACCACAATCACTAGTTGAAAAATCTAACAGTATACGAATGAATGGTGGAGTACAAAAATTAGAAAATATGATCAGAGAATTACCAGAGCTGTTGAAACGAAATGAAGAAATAATTAATGAGGTTATTTATATTCATAGATAATTTTAATAAATGTATTTAACGATTTTGTTATAAAACAAATGTTTTAGTCCGAACGGATGTTGAATGAAGAACAAGCATCTGACGAATCACTCCAAGCACAGTTCAAAGAAAAGTGGAATCGCACCAAATCAAATGTTCTTACTCAAGTTTTTAAAGTTAACATAACTAAATATCGCGAGATCATTAAGAATGCCAAATCTGCTGATAAGGTAAAATTATAATGAATTATCATTTCAAATTTTCATTAATATTCATAGGTGTATGATTATATTTTTATTCTATTAGATGATTCATGAAAAGTTTGAAACACACAAGCGAGCTATTTATTTATTATCTGAAGGACAAGAAGCCATGCAAAATGTATTGCCTGTTGGATCTAGTACTGGAGTTAATTTTGCCAATTCGACAGCTGCTGATAAATTAAGACACTTAATGGAAGAGGTAAATATAAATTATTCTATTTTCATAAACAATTTTTATTTATAAATTATTAATTACTAAAGGTGGAAGTATTGAAAAATGAAAGAGATGTTATTGAAACGGAATTAAAATGTGCCACAACTGATATGAAATCAAAGTTCTTGAATGCTTTGTCTGAAGAAGGATCTATCCACGAAGCTAATTTGTCAACTGAGAGTTTAGATCAATCTTATGGACATTTAAAAGCTCAAGTTAATGATAGTCTTGCTAGACAAGACAAACTTTTATCCAATATACAGGTATATTTTTAAAAAAATATTCTTCTTTATTATTAACTAACTGACTCGTCTTTGGCTCTAGGTGGTGAATACAGAATTTTGTAGAGAAAAGAGCAGTGGTGGCCAAAGAGAAGCCCTCTTTAAAGATTTAGCATCTGGTTATGATGTATTTAATGATTTACAAAGTAATTTAGTTGAAGGAACTAAATTTTATAATGACTTAACTGAAGTAATTATATGAAATTTATTATTTATGAAAATTAAAGAATGTTTTATAATGAAGTAGTTTTGAATATAAAATTAGTTCGAAGTTGTTAAACTTAAAGTTAGCACTCTTTTTTTAAAATTTTTTTTTTTAATTAATAATAATAATAATTTATTTTGTTATAGATTTTAATCACTGCCCAAAACAAAATTTCCGATTTTTGTTTTGCTCGAAAAGCAGAAAAAGAAGAGTTACTTAAATCATTAACTGCAGATTTAAGTAGAGAAAAACCCATTTCTGTTCCAATCGCACCTGCTAAAACCCAAATCCGTAAACATACAATTACATTCTATTATTTTAACAATACATTATTTTTATATAATTTTTTGTAGATGAATCGCCCATGGGTGCTCAGCTTCCTTATCCTATGCAACCACAGGGTATGCCCTTACCGTACACACTTCCAAGGACTGGACCATCTTACCAACCTCCTACGTACATGTGTGCTGCGCCTATGCCAACTACATACAATCCTTATGCGACACTTCATCATTATCAGCCACAAAGTAAATTATGTGCTATACATTATATTTTAACTAGGGAGTGAAAAAGATATTATATTTTTGAGTCTTGGATCTGAGCATCTGAACTGAGTTCAATATTTTGTAAATATTGAGTTTCAAAATATATTCTATTTTTTGCATATTTTTTTGGGGTCGCTGGGCTTAATTTATTAGTGTACAATAAACCAAGAAGATATGAATAGGATGCCATAATACATTTTTACACTCCCTTCTGGAAATTTATTAACTCTGAGTTAGAGATTTTGCCATCAAATTATTTGAATTTTGAATATGGACCAATCAATGTATATTTGGTCTCTTATAAGACAATAAAAGTAATCTCGGGCTGCTACCAATTTTCGTTGTTAATTTTTGTTTACAACTATCAGCTGCAACCAAAAATTGTTTACTATGTTAATCTTAGCAAAATGTAGGCTAGATGGTTGTTCGAATAATAAAGTGTCACTCCCAAGAGTGTGATAATTACACCCATTGCTGCCGCTGTGCACAGAAGCCTGCTGCCTGAGGTTACTCTTATATGAGGTAGAGTGAGTGTCAATATGTATAAATTATTCATACTTAATTTTTATTTTAATACAAAGTAGGTAATTTATTATTTTTGTATTGTTATTGCTTTAATTTTGTCCTCTTGATTATGAAAAATATAACAAATATGCTGTCTTTCAAAGATATTTGTAATTTGTGTTTTTTAGACGGAAAACCTCAAAAATATTTTATTTACCAGTTGTGCTTATAATAACGTATTTGGTTTCAGACTATCAAAACTATGCAGCTCAAGGTCAACCACAATATCCTCCTCAATATCCTCCACAATACCCTCCACAAAATCAGCAACAGCCACCGTGGTAAATGTGAATTTGGTGAAATGATGGGAAAACATAACAAATGCTTTATTGTGATTGGATATAGTTATCCTAGTTAGCTAATTATGAATACCATTTTTTTTAAACAGAACAAAATTGTTATCAATTCTTGTTAAAATTTTAATGTATCAACAAAATTATTGGTAGCATACTATATTGGCTACATTATTCATATTGCTTTAACATAATTTTTAGTTCTAGCATATGATTTTATTCATTTATTATTTATTTCAATACTTTTGTATATTTGTTCCACGGTTAAATTATAATGTTTATTATTTTTAATGTTAAATAAGAAATGTTTATCATAGTTTCTTTATAATTTATTGATTACATTTAATATTTGGACAATATGTTGTTAAAATTGCATACTCAACAATTATTAAAATGAATAATAATAACCTTAGTTCCTATATTTGTACACTACCTAAGAATGACCGGGTGGAAATATAAATACATAGTGGTCTTATCAAATAAAAATCTGACAAATTTAAACCTATACACTATTGTGTGAGAGAACTCACCGTGACCTTATGAAAATCAGTTTTTCTGTGAATCCCCACTGTACTCTTTGTCACAGACAAACCAGTTATGATAGCTGGGTTACGTGAGGGGATGCGCAGAACTGACGTGTTGTCTTGCTGAACAGTGAATAAATTGAATTATATATTATATAGTTGATACAATAAAAAAATAACAAAGAATTTAAGGCTAAAAGTTGCTGTTAAATGTCAAAATGCTACCACAATTTATTTTATTATACTTTTAATTATTACTAAATTATTTAAGAGTATTAACTATTAAACCCTTATCAATTCTTAATCATTTGTCGTCGAACAATTATATTATTATTACTTATTAAATGTCAGAATATGTAAACTCATTTGTCATGTTTAGTCAATTAAACTAAAAACAATTAATATGAATTGTGATTACTAATATTTTTCTTAATTATTATTACTAATACCCAGTTAAAAAATATTTTGATTGTCAAATCAGAGTTAACACAAAAAATTCTAGTAATTCTGCTATCATTTTATCACTCTTATTTTTTCCTATTGGTGAAATTATTATCAAACTTTAGTATGGCAGCTCAACAAGTAGGTATATCTAAATAAGACGCGAAACATTAAGTGAAAACCTAAACATATGCAAGTAAAAAATACATTATTAATATAAATTAATATCCGTATTTTTCATTTGTATGTCCAGTGTGTTTAGGTGCTGCACCGCAGGAGTAACATAAATTAATAAGTACTGACGTGGATTTAATATAGAGGGGGGCGTGGGGCTACTCCTACGCAGTTCGGTACCGGCTATTTTATAGATCGCCATAAATCATAATTTATATTTCACAATATTATATTAACAATAATATATTAATATGTGAGTATAATCTGCAACAACTACAGTGTACAACGAGTAATAACCACGGTTTAACCCTTTAAGGTATATAATATGTTTTTAAATCGTGGTAATATTATAACAATATGAGCCCATAGAAACTCAAACTGGAACATCACCGTGGTTCTTCACGGCTACATAAGCGCCACGCACGCGATTCTATAATCTTTTAGGCGTCCTCGCGATATAATATATATATGTACGGCCTTGTAGGTGCAGTGTTGAGTATTGGCCATAAATGTACAACAAATCATGTTATAATAATAATCATAATATGATATACCCATGTACAAGTATAGGTACACGTGCTCGTTCGGGTGGTCGGTTTATTGTCGCAGTGCCGAGTTTTTTACTTCATTGCGCGTATCGGATGACGGCATTCACGTCACTGATGCAGTTGTTTGCATTGTGCACTGTCGCGTGCTTAATGCACATTATACTTTAATCGTTATGTTTTATGTATGATGACTGTTAAATAGAAGGTATGTCAAAATTGTGTACTGCATCGGAAGAGAAAGACTCGTATACCTACAGCTGGCGAGTGACGATTATGATATATTCATACGAGCAATGCTCGATTTTTTTTTGGGGGGGGGGGGTCCCCCTTTATTTATTTGAAACGGAACGCAACATTTTACTATAGTGAATTTGTAAATAATCAGTTCTTCTGATGCAAAATATACCTATATATATAGCCATAATATTGTACACTTGAATCGACTATGAAAAAAAAATTCATTGTTAAATTGCTAAGAAATTGTATGATGCCCACTTAAATATAAGGATATATCTGTGAGTATTCCATAGATACAAAATTGTATGAATTAAATCTCTATAAATCATAATATAAATTATAATGTCAAGTCATTGAATGATGTAACGACTCGTCTTATCTCCAATTACCAAACTATAATTATTAATACTATATAATATACTGTATATTTTGTAGAATAATTAATTAATAATTTAATATTTATGCCGGGTTGCATGAACAATCACTAAACATTTAACAAATCAATAGTGAGCTAATGGTCCTTTAAACATGATTTAGTGACCCATGATTGGTCCATTAAATTTTATTGGACAGTTAAATTAATACATTTTTTATGCAACTTAGCATTAATGTCTTTAAAAATATAATTAATAAACAAAAGTTTTTTTCTTTTAAAATGTTTTTGTACAATAAATGTAATGATTTTTTGGGATTATGGGTGGCTGAAGCCCTGAAGGGTTGTGTGGGTAATGTGACAGTTAATTTTGAGTGGAACGCTCGTTTATCAAACATCCGCTGAGTCCCCCTTCTAGGTTTTTTTCCAAATCAAGCACTGCATACCACTGCATACGAGTAAAGTACAACATAGTATAACGGCCATGTAGGTAAGTATAAACATAACACATATAAACGGTATCATATTATAATATCTTAACCCCCCCCCCACTCCCTCTTTCTAAACTAAAAATGTTAAACCTTTCATATATATCCACATTTTTTTATTATTACATTGTATTTCTTTCCTTTATTTCATTGTATATAACAAAAGCCAATAATCTGTGTTGTTGCGGCTTAAATAAAAAAAAAATTATAATAGGTATCTTATGAATATCTGCTGACGCCTGTAGCAGTGTAGCTATAGGTAGCTTGTAGCTTGTAGGTAACGCGGCGTCGCGGCTCTATATAAAAATAGGTATATATATAAGTAGTCAGGTTACAGTGCTGCGTATTGTTTTCTGTTCTTTTTTTTCTTTTGACCAAGTATTACATGCCTACTTATAAGTTTTCGACATTATTAGCATGCAATACAATATTCCTGAATGGGACGTAGGTGATAGGTCACGAATATTTCTTAAGCTGCAGTGCATACATATTTATTAATTTTATAAGATTATATACGGCCGATATTAGCGTATTTTTTATTTTCGGACCTTATGATGTGTGTCATAGTGTCATGATTTCTATAATATATAATTATGATAAAAATAGTTAATAATCTCCTTACATAGTAATAACTAATAAATTATATATCCTTAGATTTGACACCCTCCACTCTGAGTCGTTTTCCTTCGTATATTCAGTGATTTATCACTGAATTCAAATTTAACACATCCATTATATATTCATAATATTTTTCGAGTCACTCAACACCTACTATATAAAATATACGTAGAGCCTTACAGCAGAGCAGAGCAACTTTACCGGTTTTTATAAATTCGTATAATACTAATTTTGCGCAATACCTTCACCAAAGCGCCCTCTCTACTTTTTTTCAAATGTTTGTATAGGGTAGGTATATTTTTATATTTATATATTAAATATAATATGGTTCTATACTTATATATATTATACAGTATGTTAGTTAATTGGAAAGTCCAGGCGCGTACACAAAAAAATATTTTGCGGGCTTTTGGTTGTATATTTTCGTATTTATATAATTTAATCTAATCTGTAACCTAACAGGAAGCTTACATAATTTCAATTAGAGCACCTACAATTTATTTCTCATAAAAAACGTCACTGTTAAAAAAACTTTAATTATTTTTAAAAACCTGTATTTTTGTAATACAAAATCTAATTTTCGAGGCG